GTTGTAGTTAGACGATGAGCCTCCTTTTTCAATTTATTCTTTTTCCCCTAAATCTCGTCTACTTTCCTAAGGAATATGTACATACATGCGTGGATATAATAGTACAACTAAGCCACTCGGACTGCAATAAATCCCTGCACCGGGCTGTACCGGACAGTTCTTTGGGTATTATTATTCGGCATTTTCTAGTGTATTATCCTCTAGGCCCCATCTTGCCAAAACGCTTCTACCCAAGGCACTGGGGTTCGCTAGGCTTTGTGCTAATTAAGTGTATATACACTAATTGCTGAGTGCATTTAGTTTCATAAACCCGGGTTTTAAGTGGACGGGCTCTCCCGAATAGAATAAGCATAGAAGACTTCGAAAACGCTCAGACGTCCTCAAAAAGTCACCATCTAGAAATCACTAGTTATGTTAACATACCTAAGGTAATAGAGGGAACATCCAACAACAACAGCTCTTTCGGGAGGCTTTCTCTACTTCTATTTGTTATGCTTTGTAATTATACAGATTTCCTTTATACGTGTTAACATATCTATCTACCTATCTAGCGTACATACCTAAGGTAATTTGCTCTTGTACATTCATATCCATCCCATCCCAGCCGTAGCCAAGCCAATAGTTCAACGGTGGTCCAACTCAGTCGCCTGTCAAGCTTTTTCAAAGCCTCAGGCATTTCCAATATCTGGACCAAACCCTCTCGTATCGTTGTTGGACTAAGAACAAGGCGCCCTATATTTCAATCCCCACATCAGTACGGCGTCTGCTGTTGTCAATTACGATGTGCTCAAACCGTTGCATTTGGACCCACGGCTGCTATTGCGCGACTTGCTTCTCCAAGTTGCGGGAAATGATTGAAACGTGGAGTTCTTTGGAGCCCATCCCCTGCTGTTATACCCTGCTTTCTGTTCGTCCACGCGCGCAAACCACGACCCATGCTCTCTTCCCAGCCACCCTGGTCTCCTTACAGAGGACCCTATTCACCAGATACCTTCTTGTACATACAATACATACATAGTACCTACCTACAGATACAATAATACCAGAGAGATTCGACAAGCCTCGAATAACCGACGAGGATCTTTCCTCGGCCCTAGCCTCCGAAAATATTCTCCGAGATTTGCCTTGAATCGCTACCCACAACGGCCGAATCCGGTATCGCCATCTTTGACGCTAGCCGGGGAGTCGGAGGCGCAGTTCTATGACAAGCTTATAGGGTATATACTACACCCCCTGAAATAATGTTAATTTCTAATCCGTGCATATACAAAAATAAGGTTATAAGGCATTTAAATTACGCTAGTATAATGTATACGTTATAAAAAGTAACTTATTATACGTTAAAAAAATATATTATAAATATATTATAAGGTATTATATAGGTTTTTTTTTACTATATAAATACTTAAAAAAAATTAATAAAAATATAACATTAAATTAATTTAAATCGCAGTTAAATATTATAATAAGTAAAAATTTCTTTTAAGCCTTTAATTTTATAAACACCTTTTTCCGCTTTTAATAAGCCATACCACATTAAGTTATAAATTTAACGTTAATTAACCCTTTTTTTAAATTTTATAATACTTCGTAACTTATTTATTTCGTAACTTACTTGCTTTTTAATTACGCCGCTTTAACGAGGGTTTTATTATTAATTTTAATCCTTTTTCCGTATCGCCACTTGTTAAGTAACGCTATTATTTAATTAGCGAATTTTAAAAGGTTATTTTACTTAGTTTTTATTAAAACTTTGCGATAATATACCCCGGCGTTTAAAACTTATTATATTAAAAAACGGTGATACGATTAAATATTAATTATATGGATAAATAACGTTAAATCGTATTTATTTTTATATATAAAAATCTTTTTATTTAGTTACTAATAAATTAATATATAAGGTTTTAAAATATATATATTTTTTATTATTTTATTAATTTTAATGTTTTAAAAGTTTAATAAAAATTGTTATAGCTAAATTAATTAGCTGGGTTTTTATCGGATTAATTGCGCCTCGGGGTATAATCTTAAAATATCTTTGTTAAGTACTAACAAAGGGGTATGAACTAATATTATTTCAAGGGGTGGAGTGTATATATATACAAGGTAAATGAATAATACGTACGTACGGATTAAATATACCAGATGACGCTATCCGCAGCCACAGCATTAATTAAAAAAAATACAGCAGGCAATTTACTTTACCTCCTGAGTCCCATCACACCGTGACTACATACCTAGCTTTCTAAGTCCTCGACGTCGTGCACGACTTTGATAGTGGTGTATTATACGTATATTACTTGAGACTTGGCATCAAGATTGGACCAGGTAACCGCTGTAGTAAATGACATCTCGCTTCAGCACCAACGGGAGCTATTTTCAGAGCAGCCTACATATGCAAGTCTGCCCGCACTCGGCGCGGATGACTACCTATGTATGGTTGCAGCTTAGAAGACGCGTAGAGGAAGGGGGGGTTACAATACTAACACACCATCAATCCTAAAAAGGCAATGGTAAATGATCACATTTTCTTGATCTGGACAATGGGGGTAAATTGACTGCATGCGGAGTACAGGTAAATCCACCCTCAGAGGCTGCTTTTAGGTAGCGAGCACATTAATATTCCGATCAAACAAGGTCTAACTACCCGTCTCCCAAGCTGGTTGACAGAAATTGTAACGACGGGATAGGAGCTTTAGTATATGCAAGATGAATCAAGTCTATGTAGGTACTTAATGTAGTACGTATGACTCGACATAGAAAAGTAATTAACGACGAGTTGTCAGGTTATAATCATGCTGTCCACAATATGGCCTTCGCCTCTTGCCCTTAGCGTTGAGCACAATATGTCAAGACAGGATCAATCAAAGTAGAGTATTATATCCATGTCACAAATGATATAGTGAGAGAGAGACGGTAACCCGGCCTACCTATCTTAGAAACCCGGTCCAAGAAAGTAGGATCGCGAGCTCTTCTCATTTAGTACTTCCATTTACCGAGCGCGAGATTACATAGCATGGCTGAAGTGCGACAACTACGACATAACTCCGCCAGTCGTTTTGCAAAATACTACAAGATACGCGACGTTGTCTGTATGCAGTTGAGAAATTCATATGGACTTTTGGTTAACGTAACAGGCTGATCAAGAGACAAGTGACATCAACAGGTATGTAATTGAATTGTTAACAAGAAATGCAGCTTAACCCGAAACCCCCTGTTCTACATACACGGACTCCTCACCCGGATACCACGTTTTTTCCCCTCACGAGCTCGAGACCGCTCTTAAGAAGGCTGTCAAAGCTGCATGATACCCCAAAACCCGGAGGATTAATAACAAACACCTCTCCTCTCATACCCATCAGGAATTTTTAACGCCAGTCAAATGATAGAGTTCTATGACTACATCCTAGCATTTTCTAAACCCCGCAAGTACATAGAATTTTCAAAGAACTCCTTAGCAACCTAGGAGGTAATCAGTCATAAACGCTTTGCCCCTTTTCAAACTTATCTCCGACACTAACTACCATTTCCCGAAAAGAACCATTCGATCATTAACATACTTATCTTATACCCCCGCATTCAGGGATGCACGGTACTGCACCCAGAGGGTTACAAGCAGGGAATCAGGGGTCCGTTGAGATGATCCCTTCAAGGTCAAGGGTACAACTTCCGCGAGCCGTCGTTACATCGCTTTTACGGCGAACTGGACCTGCAAAGACCAATAAGTGCTCAGTGTTGAAAAAGAAGATCCTTAGATGTACTCATCTTTAATGTATATGTAGCTTTCAAACCGCCGCTAGGGCTATCGGAAGCGCTAAATTACGACTATTCAAATGAGTCTCAAGATATTAGAGAAGATCCGCCCTAACTTAAGCCTTGCTAAGTCCAGCAATGTTCATTGGCCGTTGTTAGTTCAGCCCTTGCTATTTACACACTGTTATCCAGACCCAGAGTCAAAGATCCGTTCATAGTTTTGGCTGTTAAAACTATCCTAGTTGTCTTCATCGAAGCATACTACAATCATTATCATCACCGTTCCGTTTAACATATTCCTCAACGAAACGACTACGGAACGAACTCCATAAGCCCACACTGCTTGCCAAGCAATTTGCCGCTGTTGCAATTACGAGCTATCTTCTTGTAACTTTCGTCGTACTGCTTACTCTATGTACTGGTACTACCAGTCGATTCTGGAACCTAATCTCCCGGAATCCATAGAGAGCAGAGTCTGTCCCTCTTCCTTACCAGCAGAATGATATTTTCGCAGTCTCTAGCGCCGAGCTACATAGAAACTTGAGAGATCAGCCTTAGATACCGAGCTCTGCCGAGCTCGAGTATGGGCGTTCCCGGTTCGAGCTCTTTCCCCTCAATATCCGTATCTGTGTGTTACCGCTGGTTATGTTACAGTCACCGGGTACAACTCTATGCGAACTTGACGTGTAATAGCCTCACCAGCATACAGGAAACCTATCATATGTACATTCGTACGATGCACGGCTTTCGGCACCAAGATCGTGATTTTCTCGGGGGAGGATAGACCCTGGGAAATCATGTATGATAGCCAAACCGACAGTTGGCTTTTCGAGCCGTTAGACCCGTGGTGTAGTAATTACAAGCAGCCCAGCCCAGCCTAGCCAGTTTCTGTAACGGTCGGATCTGGAGCGGCCAGATGAGGAGGCCCCGTTGTAGCCGCTTTTTAAATTAATTCTCCGGCGCACTTGAGATATGATGCATAGATGTAGAAGCTTCCGCCTGGTTGGCTCATTTACTTAACCTGCGGCAGTTGTTGCTGGCCGCAATCATGCGGCCCTCAGTTTTCTTGTTACAATAGTACACCACTACGACATCGTGGATTGACTGTAGCGTAACACGATATAAGGTACCCGTACGGAGAAATTACTTGTCGTGTCATAGAATCGCGTAAGCATACGTATGTCAGTTACATAGCTGCACGCGTATTGCAATACGGCAACGAGTACAGCTATTGGCTGTTGTCATCTGACTACCTTCTAGGGGCCAACACCAGTCTATATTTCATGCCATCATGTTTTCTCTTGAGAAAATTATGTGCTCTTCCCCTACCGTCCACCCTGGCTTGGTTTCTTTCATCTTTTATTCCAGTAGACCACGTAGATGAGACATCATGTCACAAACGCCTTTATGCGATCTACAGCTTTATTACGGCGGCAATATTGAGATGCGCTCCAGGGGTGGATAAAGTGGTGTTTGAAAACCATAGGGTGGTCAACGATGAATAGGCCGACATAGCTGCCTAAGAGGTAGTCAATGACCATATCAAGTAGTCGATCCAAAAAGAACAATGGTTCGTAGGCGTCATCTGTAGGTAACATGTTTATCATGGATCAGGGATTTCGCTCCTCTGGATACAGGTGTTGCGGCGCAGCGCTACAAGACATGAGGAGTACACTCTTCGAGACACTGTTCCTAGAAAAGTCGATGTACATCATCATCGCTATTAACTACAGCTGGCCTCAAAGCTCAAGGGCACACACTAAAACCAACCGTAACCTATTTAGTCGAAGAACAGCGCTAAACGCGATAGATATTGCTCGTGGTATATTTGAATCGTTCATAGTAACTTACTACTTAACCAGAGGTGATCAGTACCAGAAAATCCTCATGCGTGGCACAAGCAAGTTGCTTTAACCTAGATGATTATCCAACGTTTTGTCAACCATTACTAAACTACAGCAATGCTGTTTTGTGAATGATGTGATATTGGTCTAACCCCGATTAGTAGTTACTGATGGGAGCTTTATCAGAATATATTTATTAGACTCGTGACCAAAGCGATTTATAATCTACCTCTAATAAACCGCATGCTAATTTGTGTTTAGGTATCAATACATTGATACCGATAGCTCCCAATAAGACTCCTCTAGGAGTTGAGGTAACAACGAAAGATTTAGAATAAATGATGATTGGGTACAGCTTATTTAGATAACAGTTACTACTTGAGATATATATGAACCTTTACACATAATTCTAATAACAAGTAGCAATATATATCCGTTAATATCTTCAAGTGTGATAGTATGGGAATGGAAATTATAAATCAGGTTAAAATTTTATAAAGTTTATAAGACACATGTTGACGTGTAGTTAAGCTGAAACGACTTCAAAGAGGTAGATTTCATCAACTAGTAGTATCATAAAATAGCTTTCCGGATTCTTTACCAGAATGCCACCCATGATATTTGATCTAGTAATAGCAATATTGCCTCCTGGGCTAACCTGAATCAATAAATGAAGTCTGATGAGAAAAGAAAATGACATGCTCTTAAAAATGACAATATAGAAGAATAGAGTCCGGGGAGATGAGTATTATCAATTTAGTGAAACAACCTACGGTCAAATTATTCGCCTGAAGTTCCTAAACATAAGTAGGTACCTAAATAATCTCTCTAACTTCTATATTGTAGCACCTGTCCTTATTTATATATGATTTGTTGTCTCTTTTGCGTAGAGTATTGGAGGAACATCCTTACCATATCTCTAAATGGGTAAGCAATCAACCGGTAGTAATATCAAACTATCGTTGGAATAACATTTCAACTTGCTTAAGGTATCTTCATTAAGAGTTTCCCGTGTGATTCCCTAGGTAAGTGGTAACATCGTTGTTGTATTGGTTATTATTAGGATTATAGAATTAAGATCTAGCTATTGTTTATATATGCGTACCTAGATGTAGGCAGTGACTGCCTCACTTACAATGAGTGCCTGAGTCACTGTTGCTAGGGATCCACACCCGCGCCTACATAATGAAAAGTATCACGGTATTGAGGTAATCTTTTAAGTTAAGGCCCAGCAGTCGGGGGCTGAGTACCTAGGTAGGTACCTAATATACTCAACACCTTTCCATAGTCCGGCTTACGCATAGATACAAGACGAAGCACCATCTCCACGCTTAAGCCGCTTTGCTAACGCTCGATCTAACCTTCGATACGGCTAGTACTAGTGAATAGTACTATATTTGAAGTAGCAATATGAAGGAAGGATATACTCCCGAGTCTCATGGACACCCACCAACCCAAGTTCAGAGATCTCAACCCGGGTAGGTATGGGCGACCGAACACGCTCTAGATCAACGAAAGCTTCCAACAACGCAACGCATTTCAATACATTCCGCACGCTATATGTATTCAATACTTTTCTATAGTCGCTGCCTTGGTCTCTAGACCTAGTGGTCCACCCAACGCTATGCGATATGTGATAACTCGCTAGCACCTATCAGTTATGCATGTTCTAATGGTTTCTTTGTCCGAACACACCTGGTGTATCCTTCCACGTCTATATGTATGTAAAAGTATCTACCTGACTCCCCATGCGACCTATATTCGTTTCCATCCCGGCGGCCTTTAGTGTACACACTCGGTATTCCAAGAAAAAGCACCGCTTATGGCTAAGTTTCTATTCCGTCCCCAAATCAAGCAGGTCTCGGCACGGCTGCAGGTGGGGTAAATATCAACTTCCTTATACTATTACGCGAAGTAACTCTTCCAGAGGACTCCTTCCAGATCCTCTAGTTGCTCGTGAGTAAAATACTATTCAATATGTCAGTAAGTTAATTGCTAATATGGAGTAAAGACTGCGGCTTACCTTTTGATCAACTCCCCAGCTATCTTGTCTTGTCTTTTTGAACTCGGATAGGATACTCTTGGTAGCTTTGCCAACCACGCCTGGATCGCTTGCTGCACGTCTTGCAAGCAAGGCCAGAACTTCAGGCATCCAACTCGGTGGCGGCGTCGCGTATGGGAACGCCTCGATCAATGCTCCAAGGCCTAGAACAGCAGCATGTCTTTTCACGATTTGTTGTGTGACATTGACTGGCGTTTCTGTACCAGGCTGTCTCTTCTTCGGCATCGGGTTCCTCGCTAGTTGAGTCTCGAAACGCGACTTTAGGGTAGCAATGAAGGGGTTACGTATGGTAGCCGGGGAACATCTGATCATACCTGCCAGCGTCGCGCCTGCAACAGTTCGAACTTCAAGCTGGGGATCGGCTAGCATGTCACCCACAGCGTCAAAGAGTAATTCTCGCTGCGGAGCGTCCATCAGGAACAATCGCCGGAAATAGATGACCTGCATGTTAACAAGTGCTCTCAGACGCTGGTGCCAGCTTGTGGCGGTTCTTCCTAGACGGATCAATGCCGCAATGAATGGCGCGTCTTCCCCGGTACGGAAGGGAATGTTCGGCAGATGGCGGTAGACATGGTAGGCTAGACGCATTAATTCTGGGTCTTCTTTGACGTCCATCATGTGTAGAAGCTGGTCAATAAACGGCTCTGGGAAGAATGGAATCAGCTGGATGCACTCCTGCGACGAGAGCGTGTTGTCTAGCCATGTGAGGACCGTCTTTGACCCAGACGTATAAGAAGACGGTGTCTGTTGGCCAGGGGTACGCTCGTGGCGCCAAGCTTCCAGACGAGCAAACACGTTTCTGATGGTAGCGGTAAATTCATCACTTGGCTTGTAGGGCCGAATGCCGATGTTTGAATCTGCCTTATTCTGTTCTAGCAGAGCGCTAACATTCTCGAATGACTCGTGATATCGAGTTCTATAGATAGTGGCAATTACACGACCGATGGATTCGCGTACGGCTTTATATGGGTGGTCAATGTGCGCTAGGAAGTCTTCCAAGATGGGTTCCTCGTGGCGGTAGTGCCAGCCACAGTCGTTAATGAGGAATTCGAGAAGCTGCACTTTTGAGGATTCCTTAAAGGCAGCGTTGGAGTTCATGTCCAGGCGGAAAGAGCTCAGGCGGCTAACAAGCTCGCTAGCACGACGAGGATCCTTCGAATCAATGATAAAATGAAGACACGTGGCCCAGTACGAGAGGTTATCGGGTGTAAGATTGTCGGCGAAAATATCGAGGATCATCGGCTGTGCAAAGCCCCAGACTTCCTGCTTCATACGGACAGGATCATAAGCTGTACCAACCATCAAGGCACCCAGGATCTCTGCTGTAGCACGATGCTGGTGCTTGTCGCTTCCATCGCCGTACACTTCGCCTACCAATTCTTTGACATCATCGAACTTGAGCTCGGTTTGCCCGTATATCATGAGGTCAAAGACATGCATGAGCAGTACAACATTGGAGGTCCTGAACCTGTCGGAGGACGAGTCCCGAGGCTCCTGTTTTAGATAATCGAAGCATTGAGAAAGCCACTGTCTCGTTATTAATTTGCCGATTTGCTGCCTAGCAGCCTTCTCAACGTCATCGTAAGCGTCAAACTTTTCTGGGTCTGCTTTAAAGGCATTGAACTGTTTGCCCCAGACTAACCAGCCAGGGTGATCTGCGTCAACGTAGTATTCTGTACTTTCAGGGTGCTTGAAGCTATCCAAGAAAGCTTCCGTAAATTCGGCATCACCTTTCGGAACCGGGATGACGAGTTTGTTGATATCTTGCTCCTTCTCGCAGAGGTAGTCGCGGTAGCTGTGCCCATATACAGCACGCTGATCAATCGCAGTGAATATGTTGGAAAATGCGTTTAGGTAATTAGCCCTTAAGCCTGGGTGGGGGTCGTTTGTTCCCTTGACGACGAGCTCGATGAACTCTGGTGGCGCGATGCCCTCGAAACGTAAACAAAGGTTCGTCGTAAAGATGGCACAACGGCTAGCCGTCTTCCAGTGTGATTCCTTTGCAATCTCTGTTAATTCAAGGCCCAATGCTGCCTTTTTCTGCTCGACCCTCTTCCTGCGCTCAACAATGAAATCATGTCTTGCGTCGATGGCCTTCGAACAATCCTCGGCCGGCTTGATCAAATTAACTATTTCCTCATCGGTAATCACCATCAATTCGAATCGCTTGCCAAAGTCCATCAGCGGATAAATAGCAGTCGCTCCAAGATTCTGAATTGACGTTTTGTCGACGTTGGCTGATTGGATGTATAATCGCATCAAGTCAGGGGCAAATCTCCAGTCCCTCATTAACGTCCTAAGCAAGCTTGTGAAGAGTAATGTATACATTGCCCCCTTAATACGATCGTGGTCGACCTCTTCGAGGGCCTTGCGGAACCTCTCCAGTATGACAGGGATGACGAGCGGCCGGCCGCCTATCAATGCCTTTAGTGACGCATCTTGCGCACCCTGGGCAATTCGCCTCACGTCCGCATATGAAGAGACAGAGGATTCGGCAAGGTCAAGGAGTAAGCGCTTGTCCAGCTCGCTCTTCCTCCGGATTGATGCATTATGCTTGACCCTCTGTAGCTGATATGCATCGGCCCTCTTGATAAGAAGAGGTCTGGGATACACCTTTCGCAAACCACTTATCTTGAAAGGCGCAATGTCTGCCCTGTATAGTCGGACTAGGC